AACAGAGAGGCTCTGGATTGTTTGGTTCAGTGGAAGGTAAGCCTTCTACTGAAGAAAACTAAAAGGCTGAAGTTGCTTGGATTTTTAATATTTATACCCAGAAGAGGCTAACCACCACATCAGGATTTTTTAATAAGGATTTCAGTTCTGAAGCTTGCTCTTTTCCCCTCAATCAGTTTTCTCAGTCATTCGACTTAATTCAGACAATCACAGCTGATTTATCACAGGACTTAGTTTTTTTTCCCCCCCCCAAGATAGCATTTTGCAAGTAAACACAAAATAATATTCAACGTTCAGCATTCTGATGTTACCCTTAACACCAATGTCCCAGTTCCACGTTAGGCATTTCTTTATCAGCTATGTCAACACCAAAGAATTTGATCTTCAGATTAGAGGGGTTAGAACAAAGGAAGGAAAGAATAAATCACATCAACACGCAGAACCCGGATGCCCAGGCTGATACTACAGCTGTGGTTGTGTTAATGGATGACTGCATTCCTCAGCCATGAGGCAGCAGCTTACCTCTTTATGCTAAGTTGGCCACGTTCATCAGTGCCAGATGCGCCTCTGTACATCTCGATTTAGACTGCTCAAAACTATTCTAAACCAGCTCATCTGTCACTGCCACACTGAAAAGCAGGAAAGCCCACTAAGTACAAGATAAACCTAAAAACTTGCTGCCTATCCACATTGTGAGATGATACCTGGTGGGGCCAACCTTGACCATAAGGAAAGAGGAGACAAAGGGATGGGTTTTACTTGTGGGCATTACATGTTTAGAACAGCAAGCACTACATATTAACTCCAAAGCAAAACAATTTATCCTGCTGCACAACCATCCATCATCTCCAGCACTAAGCTTACAAACTGCGATGCCCCCTGAGCACAAGCCAACAGGCAATACTATGGCAAGAAGTGGGGACTTCACCTGGTTCATAGTGGGTTCTGGGAGAACTCAAATATAGGACTTTCTCATTCTAAACACAGAGACTGCCCCACCACAGCAAGTAGCTTGCTCTATAAAGGATATCATTTAGCATCAAGTAGACTACAGCCTTTGGGAAAAAAAAACACCACAGAACTTTCTGCTGTATGAAACTGTTTTCATTGTTATTAGGTCATGTGGGAATACCTCCTACTGAATAATGTTTCAGGCTGCCAGCATGATGTGATAAGGTAATCAATACATGCATCAACAGGACATACAGTTTTCATTAACATAGCATAATCAAACTATTTGGTGAATTCCAGCACACTTTTGCTTCTTGGACCTAAAAACTACATTAATAAATAATTTCAGGCAGCATTATAAGCTACTTGATGGGTATAGCAAGTGTCAAACACAGTAAGAAAAATTCTACATAAGCAGCCTGTCAAGACTCCTCCCCTATGCAGTGATATAAGAAGTTCTCATGCTGTAGCACTATGGTGTGATGGAAAGCACAGCAATGATAGAGGAGGAAAGTTCCAGGCTGTAGCAAGTGAGGATAAGCCCAAGCACATCAGCCATGGATACAAAAGCAAAGGGAAAAAACTGTTTACCTTTGGAAGGCCTCAGGCATGCAGGATCTCCAGCAAGAAACCCTTGCCTCCATTGTCAACCCTTAAAGGAGGTCTTAAATGAGGGGGTGGATTTTTCATTGCACGCACCTGAGTTCTCCTGCCTTCCCACAGGTGCTCTCAATCACTGCTTCAAGCTGTGACTCAGCCTTTACACTCCACACGTGCAGTGGAACACCATTTGAACAGCAGAATATTTCAATAGAAACCATTTTGCATCTTGGATTTCACAAGGGCTTGGTCCTTACATTGCAGGAACCTATCAAATATATATAATGGGATTGCTAACACTACAGGAAGATGCATAAGGTTTTCTTAATAGAGTTCCAGAAAGACACAAATCCATTTATGCTCCTTTTCAAAATTGTATCCACACAGGAAAAACAGACAGGTTTTGTTTTTAAGTATCATTCAAATTTGATACAAGAAAGATGCATCTGGGACTATTTCTGTGCACTGAAACTTAGTGTAGCTCTAAATGCTTTGACAGCTACAAAGCTATCTCTTGAAGTTTGCAGCTCTCGGGGACTCCACTTTGGTAGTTCAGGCACACTTGCAGCTGAAACAGGTACCTACCTATCTTCTATTCATCAAAGCAAAGAACTGAGTGCAACAAAAATGAAATTAAGACAACTAAGATCAGCGTCTCCAATCATCAGCTTATTGGCAAGCCACCTGCAGTCACCCAAGAATGGATTTGCCACTGGATTGCAAACACTTCTTACAGCAACTCAGACAAGTCCAACACTCTTCTCTCTGCTTCTTTAGTACAGCCTTTACTAGTTTTCTTACTGCTTTTTCTACTAGAAAGATAACATTATAAATTGAGCTCTTCTAAAGCTACTTGTGCCCTTACTGTTTGCATGAGTTACCAGGCAGGTCTCCAGCCACTTGCTGCTCTGCTGACCTTACTCATTTAACCTGCTGAAACCACAGCTCTTCACGGCAAGCCATAATCCAACCAAAGAACCCCAGTGCTTTTCTCCAAGAGTCCTGTTGTTCTTATTTCACACAGCCATGCTCAATTAGTATCTATATCATTTATCCCTTCTAAGCATGTTTCCTCCTCCAGCTTTCAGACAACAGCCATTTATACCAATTAAATCAAGGTTAAGACTCACATCCTCCATAACAACACTCCGAGGCTCCATAATCAGAGCAGCTTTTCCCCACTACCAGCCAGAACACAACAGCACTGCTTCCCAAGGGAATGCTTCTCGCAGTCTGAGCAACGAGATACTGATCACTTCCACTTACTCCTCTGACCTTTTAATTCTATTGAATTGACTGCTCCTGAGCCATGCACCACTCTCATCTCCTGTCCCTCATTCTCTGCCGTTGTATACTTGGACTTCCACCTTCACAGCAAAAAAAAATTCTCTCAGCAATACTTGTGAATCTTGGTAACACCGACTTAAAATTAGCATAAGTTATTCTCCCTTTCTCACCTGCTACTGTTTCTGAAAAGACAGCTGTGATGCAACAGAAAAAACAACAACAGCAGCAGAGCAGGAAGGTCTCAGACTTCAACAAGCGAGGATTTGCCCAAACGCAACAGCCCCAGGCACAGAAATAAAAGAAAGAAAACACTTACCTTCAGAAGGCCTCACTAAACAGGGATCTCCAGCAAGGTCCACTTGCCTCCACTGCCAACCCTTAAATGAGAGATGGGAAGGGGTGAGTCCTGGCTCCAGCCCTTCCACTCACTCAGGCACATTGCTTGCACCTGAGCTCCCCTCGGCTGGTCCTGCCTTCCACCAGGTGCTCCATCACTGCTTCAAGCTGTGACTTGTATTTCCACTGCAGCAACACGGCTTGATAATTGGAGTAGGACTGATGTAATAACATGCTTGTAGATAGAAAAAGATTCCTGCAACCGCTGAACGCTGTTAATGTCACCAGAATACAGTTGTTCAATAACCTGTAGAAATGCATTTCTGGCAGCAGTGAACTGCTCAAGCAGTGCCCTCATCGAATCATTACAGTCAGCATTGCAGGGAGTATAAAATTAGACACCTGAAGTAGTTTATACATTGCACTGTTCTAATGGTCACTTTGCAAATTAGCACAAGTGTTTGCATTGCAACAGAACTGGATATCGATAAGCATAAATCAGAGCTCATAATTAACACTACTTAAGTGATTCTTTGCCTGATCTGTATGAAATGATTCCAGAAGTTCATTCTGATGTCAGATTTCTATCTTTGAACAAGAACTGATGATCACACAAGTAAACACACAGGGAGAACACAGCAAATACCCCTGTAACTTTGCTGTAGTGGGAAGCATACAGCAATCTCTGCTATCCACAAAGCTGATCAAGGCTACATCTAACCCTCAGTTTGCAGAAGTCTCCAGGAGGACTGTAACATCACAACAGCTTTGTCAGCTTTCCACTTTCCCCCTCCCCCAAACTACTGATTACCAACAGCATTCAGGAGCAGAATATCAGTGCCACAAACAACAGCCTGGCTCCAGCAACCTCCACCTGCAGTTCACAATTGATTTGTAAGAGTTTACCACGCACTGAATTCTTCTGCTTAATTTACAGTTCCTGTTGCATCCCTACATTGAGCTTGTTCTATTCACGGTCACTCTGATCATTCTCCTCCACGCTCCTCTTTCCTCACCACTTCTCTTGTTTCTCAAACAATCCTGTTTTGTTTCCTTCCATCCTAGCCTGTGTGCTCGAGGACTGCCTCCAACACACGCAGTATTTGCTTGGCTTTTGCACAGTTCTGCAGAACCCAGAAACAAAGCCTGACAGCGAGTAAACAGCTACAGTGCCAAGACAAATGCCCCTCATGCTGAGCTATGCATATTCTCAGCTCCTCATAACCATCTGTAGCCATAAGATAGATAAGAGCAAGTATCTGAGGGTAGGATTTCTATCCTATAGGTGTATAGCGTGCACTGCAATGAGCTACAACCTGAGATGTTAGCTTCAAGTATAGAAGCAGCTATGATACTAGAAAGGGATACTTTGCATCTCAACATTCATTTCAACCACTGAAGTTCCTCTCAAGACTTCCCCCAAGGCTTTTTCCAAGCACGCTTCCTTAATCCTAGTGCTGGAGATCAGGACTTTAGGCAACAGAACCCCACACTTCAGCATCACCCTGCAGTGACTGGGAAAGAGAAGAACATAGCCCATGAACTTCACAAACCCTAAAAGCCCTGTGCACCTCCAGCTCACAGAGCAGCTCGGTTCTGACAGACACCACCATCTCATCTGAACAACCAGGCACTTTCTCAGGAAGAAGGTAAGTTCTGTGAATGGATGTTAGGTCTCTGTGGAAGCATTTTAGCTGGTGGGCACTTTGCTGGCACGCAGAGTAAGAGCGCGTGTCTCTTAAACATAGGAGACAAGAATTACAAGTCTATTTTTATTTCTTAATACAAATTACATTCTCTTCTTGACACAGGATTAAACACTTTATTTAACAGCAATTGTAAATTGACAAAAGGCATAAGAATGAATTAAGATTTTATCAGTCTACATTATGAAGGAAAGCAATTGGCATGTCTTAAACTTCACAAGCTAGTTAGCTTGCATGAGCTTTGCATTTGGCTGAGATATAAGCAAGCCAGAAGAAAAAAGACCAGACAAAGCAACAATCATCATCTGTGATCAGAACAACAACTCCAGCTGTTTGGAAATCACAGAAGTTCTTCAGATCCACACCTGGCTGCAAGCTGGTCCATGGTAAGACATCAATTAGCACTAGCAAAAGAAACTACAACCAGTGAGGTAAATGACCACCTAATTGACAGCTAGCCAGTACACAGCCAAGAGCTTGTGATATTTCAGGGAGCTGAAAGAACATCTTGAAGGTATGACAACTAGTACATAAATTGCTTTTAATCCTCCAGCCTTTTGGAGCAGTTAAGCAAAAGTAAAGTCTGTGGATAATGAAGTTCATTACAGGTAGATGTTTAGGTCATACTCCCATGCATTTTACCAGTCTGAACCCACTGGACAGTCTTAAAGCAAGGTTGCATGCAAGGTGACTATTTATCTAATCTTAGTAACATCTAAACCTGTAGTGTTTGTGTTGATTCACAGGCAGAACAAAAGAGCATGCATTCTTTTTATTTTGGCATTATTTCCAGTCATGGGTTACAATTCATCTGCAAGCAGCAGCTAAGAGTAAGTCTCCTCCACCAGGCAGCCTATACATACATAAGTTCAAGATGCATTACCAGCCATACAAGGTGTTCATATACACCCACAATGCATTCTTCACTCATCAGAAGGAGCATTTGGATACTCCAAATCTTCACATCCCCTCATCCCCTCCCAGCACTCCAGTTTTGGGAAGCAGGTATCTGTGTAACCTACAAGATCTAGTCCTAATTGGCCAGAACAGATTATTTGTAGCAGGTCCCTCAGGCTACTGAAGATTTTTACATGTTTAAGCTCTGCCTTTCAGAAGGGCTCCTCCAGTTCATTGCTAGAAGGTTAACGACAGGAACTGAGTTGTTTTCTGCTTTGCTTTCTTCTGCACTTTCCAGTAGCAACTCCTCAGCCACATCATTGAGTCTCTCCACGTTGCCAATCACTCCGTATTTAAAACCAGCATCTCTTACAGCTTGATGAAAGCTTCACAGGAGAAAAGACAGGAAGAGAAATTGTATTTAATATCTCCCACTTTCAATGGAGAAAAAGAAAAACCCTTCCAAAAACCAAGGTGTAAACCCAAGAAAGTTTTCTTGCTGCTGCACAAACACTCCATACAGCCCAAGCTGGTTGTTTTTCCTAATGAGCCATAAGCATTTTGATAACATCACTACACACAAGAAACCACAGATAAGGCCCCAAAGATGTTGGTTGCTTTGCAACCCTGGAGGGAAAAAAAACCCTAAGTAAAGACCACTAACTAGAAGCCCTCTGCAGCATCTCGTACCAATTGAAGAAGATATGACATAGTAGCTACCAAAATAAGGCAATTACAGACTTAAAATAAGCATCTCTAACAGATGAATAAAAAGAATAGGGAGAACTGCAGTTTTGGGTTTGTTTTCTTAAAGTTATAACAACTTAGGTACATTGAGCAATTTAATAAAACATTGACCTCAGTAAAGATATTTGTTACTGACAAGGACCTTCAATAAGCCATAAGTAATTACTGCAATAAACAAAAGAATGGAGGCAACTATTCAGGGGAAAAGCTAATTAACCCACATAGCAGCTTTTCCATGACACAACTACACCCCAACCACCACCTAAGAAGCCCTAAGCACCACCCCATCACTCACCACCCTTTACCAGGGACCTTTTATACAGACCTACTCCAACACAGTGCTCTGGAGGCTGGTCATATAAATTTGGCAATGGCAAACAGCTGCTGCTTGTGTATGCTGGGGGAAGGTTGGGACAAGACGCTGCTTCTGTCTGGTGAGTGTGCTGGTTTTAAGGGCTTTTCTTTCCAATAGTTAAGCTAGTTGCTTGTAATGTTTGTAATGCATAAGTTGTAATTGAGCTACACGCATGGTAAAAGTTACTTTTAGGGAAATACATTTTATAAATGAGCTGCTTTCCTTAAAATAGAGGGTAGTGCTCTAATATCTTTGAGAAACTCTCTAATAACAAAGGCTTGCATTTATACTGGAAAATGCTATAGACTTGTAAGTGCCATGGGAGTGTAAATAGCTTGTAGCATATCCTGATTCTTAAAAGTGCTGTCTGCTCTTTAGCTATCTATCTGAGAATAAGAAAATGGTAGTGAAATAAGCTCTTATGTCTTCTTTCTCTATAGATGAAAAGAGACAGTATCCTGTACGTGGTGGCCTTCTTTGAGTAAGGGCAATTTGAGCTGTTATCTGTGTTAGTGCTTAAATACAAAGCTAAACCTTCTAAGTGCTTAACAGGTATTTGTTATTGAAGGCTTTTTTGTGAGCTTCTTAAGCTAGTTTCTGACTAAAGCACTGATTCACAGTCTATTATCTAGATTCAGAGTCAGTTATCTAGAGTGCTGTGAAGTCCTTGGTGATGCTGTAAGAAAAATACATGGCATAACAGTAAAATTTGAGTCATGATTTCATGGGAAGCTTCTGAAACAAAGGGGAAAAGCAGGTAGCTTAAGTAACAGATAGAGTTTTTGTTCTGTGGTGTGCCTTAATGTTGTGATACTGCATCAAGCTTATATCCTGAATGGGGGGGAGAAACAAAAAGCTGCCATTCTGCTGTAACTATGACTCTAAATAGAAGACAGAGGTGTGCCAGCAGCAAGCACGCTATTGTGAGAGATTCTCTCCAGCGCAGCAGTGGTACATCAAAAGTTAGTAAACAATGGGGAAAAAACGCTATATGCACTTAGTACTATAGGGGAGTCATTGAAGTGACAGTTACAAGGGGTTTGTTCTTACTGACAAGGGAAATACAGTATTTCTTCTGAGGAGAAATCATAAGTTTAATTGGGAAATAGCATGAATCACTGCTACTGCTGTAGGATGTGCTTCAGTGTGGAGCAACAGGGGCGGCTCTGCAGGGTGCCTGTGCTGCCTCCTTCTCTAAGTAATGCCCATAGCAGAGCTTCTGGTAAAGCAACTATCCGTGTAGAGGATGGGGAATTAACTACAAAATAGCTCTGCTACAATGAAACTAGTTGATTTTCTCTGTAGATAACTGTAAAAAAAAAAAAAAAAAAAAAAGCTGAAGAGTCAAAAAGATTCCAAGTCACACATGGGTATATTCTGAGTATCGTTTTATATCGTGTCTTCAATGTAACACTTAAGATTTGGCTTCTGTTTATAATTGTGTGGCTTCAGTTAATTATGCAACAAGGCAAATAGGAAATGGGAAACGATAAACATCTTCAAATCCTAAACTAGTCCAAGTTACAACTTGGAAGAAGCTGCACCTAAACAAGGTTGTTTCAGCTCAGTGTATAGATCTCAGAGCACGTTTCTGACAGAAAGATCAGAATCTGGAAGCTGAACTTTTTCTAGTGGCAGCAAGATTTCCTTGTTTGAGTTCTTCCTGTTTTTATCTGCTTCCACCATGCAGCAAAGACAAGTCTTGCATTATTGTGACTTCAGATATGCCGTGATACTATTCCCTAAAAGTCATTTCCTGTTTATCAGCATCCAGCCTGAGGTTTGCCATTGTGAGCAGCCTGAACTCTTAATATTTGCTTGCACTTCATCCTTAGAACTCCTATCATTAATCTCAATTACTGCCCCCAAATGATTAGCACTTCCAAAGATCAGCTCTTTGCTGCTTTCATGTGCTTTGGGAATGCAAACCATAAGGACCACCCATGCAAGTTTTGCTCAAGTGATTTGCCTTGTATGATATGAACTTAGTGGTGGGGGCTGAAATAAATGCAATTCTGCAGGTTTTTCCTCATGCTTGCTAATACCCTCTGGTGGGGCCACACATCATGTGTTGTGGTCAGTTTTTCAGTGGGCTCCTCACTGCAAGGAAGACTTTGAGGTGTTAGAGAGGGGCAGTGAAGCTGGGAAGGGTTGGGAGCATCAGTCTTATGGGGAGCAGGTGAGGCTGGGATGGTTTGGATTGGAGAAGAAGAGGCTCAGGGGGACCTTATGGTGGCTCTCCATCTCTGTGCAAGGAGGTTGTGGTGAGTTGGGGGTCGGCCTCTGCTCCTGTGATAGGTGATAGGATGAGAGGTGGTGGCCTAACGTTGTGCTACAGCAGGTTCAGATTGGATGTTAGGGGAAGCTTCCTCCCAGAATGAGCAGTGATGCACAGCTGCACATGGAGCAGTGGGGTCACCATCCATGGAGATGCTCCAGATCTGTGATGATGGGCTGGGCTTGGGGAGCTTCATGGTCTTTTCTAACCTGATTGATTCTATGGAGGAAAAAAAAAAAGCCAAACAAACAGCCCTAGCCACTGAAAGTAGTGCTATGATCCATATTGACGTGTCACAGGGGAGGGGAGAGTGAAACAACCAGCGCGGGAGGTGACTGGCGAGGCTCAGCCAGCGGCCGGGCAGCGTGGGCCGAGCGCGCCCCCTGGCGGCATGCAGCGGGCAGACCCGGCGCACGTGCCAGTACCCAACATGGCTTCCGCCCCCTTAACGCTATGAGACGCCGCTGCCCTCACGCAATATGGCTGCCTCCGTGGGGCAGCGGCAGGGTTAAAAATGGCCGCTGCCTCACAAAGGATCGAAATTGGGGGTCTGCGTGGAAGGAGCGGGCCTCCCTTAGAGAGCCCACAGGATCGGGCAGGGCTGCACGGGACGGCCAAGAGCCAGCAAATGGAGTCAGAGAGAGACCATAGAGTGCGGGGCGGCCTAGCCACAGACTGGCAGCTGCGAGACAGCGCCTCCTGGTGGCGGACGTCTGCGCGGCTCCAGGCGCCCACTGCTGCGTGTCTCGGTTCCCCATTTCCGCAGTGACCTTCGTCCCCGCTCGTGCTCGGGATTTTCCTGCCTACCTGTATTGTTTCTCGGTTTCTGTCCCGCCCTGCTGCCCGCAGTCATCCATTTGTAACCTGCGACCCTGAGTCCAGATATCTGCTCCTTTGCTCCACTCGTGGTCAAAGCAGTACTATCTGCCTGTTTGTCGAGGAATGGAGCAATTAAAGAATATTGCACTGCTGCTGTGCTCTGATCCATCTGTTGATAAGACCTTGCAGATGTACTCAATCAGCACATTTTGCAGAGCCGTTTACTGGTTAGTTGCCAAAGCTATAAATGATGGTGTAGAACAGCTGTGAGCAGTGGAATGTCAGTCAGGTCTGGCGGATAGCACACTGCTGCTGGATGCTGTAACCTCCGCATGCTTTGATGCCCTCAGCTCAGTGCAATTTGCAGAAGATGATGGTGAAAGGTGTCATTGCTCATCCTTCAGCTGTATTGAGACCCACAGATGAGGACGCAGCTGTGGGAGATGGAGAGCTAGCCGTGTCCATCTGCAGGTGGCATCAGGTTGATGTCTGGGAACCTCCTTTAGCAAAATGTGGATGCATTACCTTCAGCCTGAGACAAGAAACCACTTTTACTCTGTGCTTTAACCTTCACGGCATTCCCTAATGCCTGTTGTGTGAGGGTCAGCCCTGGGTCGTGTCTGCCCAAGGCCGCCTCTGCAGGGAAGGGAGCCTCAGCCTGGGCTGTGGGCTCAGAGCAGCCCCTTACTGGGAGACCCAGCAGTGCCTCCATCCTCCCTCCTGCAGCCTTAATCCTCCCTGTGCGTGGGCTGCCTGCAAACTCCCCCGTGCTTCTCCCCCCCCCCCCCCCCCCCCCGGGCCCCTTCCTCGCTTCTCGAGCAGCCACAAAGCCTCGGGCACAAAAGGCTCTCCCGTCGCCCTCCCTGACCCCCCCGACTGCTGCCCGCCCTCATCGGCTTGTGCGGGCCTGCAGGCGGCACCGACAGCCCCGTCGGGCCACGAACACACCCAGCAGGGTGTGAGCAGGCGGCACGGAGCCGAGCTGCGCACCGGCACCCGCCTGGGAGCTCAGCCCAGCGCTCACCTGGTTGCTCGGTACCCGCTGTGGGAGCCCGACGGGGAGCAGGTATTTCCCCGCGGGAAGCACCGAGGGGGCGGCCGCGTGGTTGGCAGGGAGGCAAAAATGGGGGGGGTATTGCCCTGATGGAGGGTGGGGAGGGGAAGGGAGTGGCTGTGCCGCTCCTCCTGGTTGCGGGGATGGAGAGCGCAGGGGGTTGCGGAGCGCGAGGCTGGGAGTGGGGTCTGCGGAGCTGTGGAATTGCCCCAGGAGCTGTGTTCACCTTCCCATGGGGGCAGCAGGGGTTGAGCTCTAGGCTCAGGCTGGGTGACACGGTGGGTGTGTGGATGGCACTCTGCTTGTGGGCATCAGGTTGTCCTGTGCCAGCACCCCAGAGATGCAGCCCCCCATTCCCCCCCATCCACAGGGGGCTGTGGGCATGTACATAGCCGTTCCAGCAACTGTAGCAGGGCTGGCAGTACTCTGTGAGGTTGCCTGCTGAGAGCTGAAGGAGAGCTTCTTGAAGTCCCAACGGTACCCCAGATACCCTCCTATGAAGCTGTAGCCAAAGCTGTGCAACATTTGTTGTCTGTGCAGTACTTGCTGCCTGTCCAGCCCTCCTCTATTTGGGACCTATGCCCTGTGCACAGATGTTGTGTGGTTACTTCTGGTGCTGCAGCTTGCAATCCAGCTTCCAACTGGGGGGAACAGGGTGGCATTTTATCTCTTAAAATGCTTTCAGCACCCTGCAGACCACGCCAGCAGTGTGGGCATGTGGCCAGCCCAGTGTGCTACTGCTGCCAGGCTTGGGTCCCTGGCCAGCCCTGTGCTGTCTGTGCACAGTAAGCTCGGCTGTGTAGGTCTGAAGTTCAGCTGCAGTCACTCCCACTGTACTTCATACCCTGCGTGGGATCCAGTGTGTGTGTGTGTGTGTGTGTGTGTGTGTGTGTGTGTGTGTGTGTGTGTGTGTGTGTCAGTGTCAAGGTTTCCCTGAGCAGGGCTGACACCAGTGCTTGGATGCTATCAGCAGCAAGAGGGGTCAGGAGCAAGTTGTAGGGGATGCTGTCTGTGCCCCACTGCTCCATGGTGGAAATGACTTCTGTCTGTGAGCCCCTGAGCTTTGGCATCAGGGAGAGAAACTTGCTGGAGTCCAGCTCTCCTTATCATGGTGATGGCTGTGTCATCTCCCAGTTTGCATAGCACCTGTCAGTCCTCATGGTGTGGGAACTGTCTCAGGAATGTTCTCCTAAACAAGCGGAGATCTTGCATTTGTGTGGGAGTCGTGCCTGGGACTTGTGCAGGGAGATAGGCGTGTGCTTTGCCAGGTTAGAATGGGACGTGGCCCTGTTGGACTTCCTACCCCCAGGTTTGGAGAGGATGTGGCCTTGTGGTGAAGGCTGGGAACGTGGCATCTCCTGGCTCCCACACCTGGTTCTGGGGTCCTATGGGGTTGCAGTGAAATGGGAGTCTGGCTCTGCAAGAGTAATGGTGCTGCTTGGGGTGGGTTGCAGGCTTCCCAGCTGATTAAAGAGGTTGGGATGATGGGGGGAGTGGGGAATCTCTGCAGCAGGGCAAGCAGTAGTGAAGATGGGGTTTCAGGGTGTGCCTAGAGGCAGACCCTGTTTGGGGCTCTCTGCTTCATCCAGCTAAGAACCAGGAGCATGGGGACCACAGCAGAGCTTCCCAGCCCTTCTCCCATTCCTGGGCCACTAGCAGCCCTGCACCCAGCTATGGTCCTGCAGCTGTGGGGTGCCAGCACTGCCAGAGCCTGGATCCTGCACTGTGTCCTTGCTCTCAGGCAGAGCCCCAAACCCTGGGCTGGAGCTGGCCCTGCTCCCTGCTAGCTCTGGGCTTGCTGTAGCTCGTTGTGCGTAAGGTGCTGGGGCAGCCTGCTGAACTAGTTGGGCTGCATTGCCTGCTCTGCTCTGCTGCCCTGGCACAGTGCCTCACCTGAGAACGTGGCCAGCAGCCCCGCTATGTCCCAGGGCTGTGGGGCAGTGGCTTCTACCTCCAGCCAGGATGCTGCAGTGCCCCATCCCTGTGGGGCTTGGACTTGGTGTGTGTAGAGGTCTGTGCCAACACTGTGTGCACCCCGTGCAGGACACTGACCCGCTGCGACAGCCCTGCACCATGGCAGACCCTCCTGGCTGCTGCCGCCCATGTGCCACCTGCCTGCTGTGCCTCTACAGCTGCCAGTGGATCACTGCCAAGAAGGAGAAGAGGAGGGGTCTGAGAACCACCAAGGTGATACTGTGGGTGATGCTGAGCTGGTGCTGGTCCTGAGCCCCAGGAGAGCTTGGTGTGCCCTGGGACCCCCCTCTGCCCAGGGGCTGCCCTGGGAGCGGTGAGAGGGAAGACATGAAGGTGTCAGGGTGAGGATGAGCCCTCTTCCTGCTAGGTGACAATAAAGGCAGCACAGCAGCATGAGGCTGAGCTCATCCCGTGCCCCACTGGGCACGCGTTTGTGGCAGGCTTTGCACATGCCTGGAGCTGAGCATGGTGTGGGCATGTCCTGGGATGCAGGGTGCCCAACGAGGCACGTGGGAGGCACAGTGCCTGGGCAGGGTGCGGCCCCCCCCGGGGGGGGCTGGCAGGGGGTGTCCCCAGTGATTTGTAACCCAACACAGGGGTGAGGCCCTGGGATTCTCCGAGGTCTCCAACTCCCATGGGAGTGGCTGTGCCATGGCTTGTCCCATCTTGCCAGAAATGTAAGAATTGGTCCAGGCTGCTGGCTGTCCCGCTTGGCACCTGGCACATCCCTGCACGTGTGGGGCTGGGGATGGAGATCCTGGAGCTGGACCTGGTGTTGATTGGGTGGGCAGAAGTAGCCTGGGGGCTCCTGCAGCTGCTCAGCCCTTCTAGTCAGACTAGTCCATGCACAGCCCTGCAAACTGAGGATGGCACCTAGCTCCTTTCCCAGTCCCAGCCTGCTCTTGAGGCTGCTGCAGGGGGACAGGAGGCCGTATCAGCCTTAGGGCTGCTCTCCAGCCTGGCATCCGCTGCTTCTGAGCTTGTAGTGGGAGGTGTTTGTTCCCAAAAGAGCTCTCCTGGGCAGCTCAGTGCCTGGACCCTTGCTCCCTGCTCCAGGCTGAGCCTTGGGCCTCAGCATCTGGCTGTGGTCTGGATGTCATGCAGATGTGTGCATGCTTGTCTTCTCTCTGGCTTTCAGTGTGACTGCAGCTGGTTTTTCTTCCTCTTCTGTGTCTTCCTCTTCACGTTGGTGTGGCTCTACATTGCCATCATCATCCTCAATGATTTCCACAACTTTAATGAGTGAGTAGGATCCCGCATCCAGCCTGACCTCCTCCACCTCTTTCCCCCCCCCACCCTCTATGCCACCCATCCTTCTGTGTGTAAAACCCAACCTTTTACTTGCAGGTTCATCTTCAAGCAGCAGAAGCTGTGGCTAGACTGGTCCCTGATCCTGTTAATAGCAACAGCTGTGCTCATCACTTACTCAGCTGTGCTGTTGGTGAGCCCTGCTGATTCCCTCTGGGTTGGCAGGGGTATGGATCAGTGCTGGGCATGAGCCAGCTGGAGCCTGAAGACCCTGTATGCATTGGGGGAGGGGGGCAAAGCTCCAGTGTGCCTTTTGCGAGCTGAGATACAGAGTTCAGACAAGCTCTGACAACTCCTCCTTCTTTCAGGTCCTTGCTTTGTGCTTGCAGCTCTGTGGCCAGCCCTTGAAGCTGCACTGGCTGCACAAGGTGAGGCTGTTGGTGCAGGAAGATGATACATACCCTGGCTGTCTGCATGCTGGGCACATAATCTGCCTGGTCCTCCCCCACTGCTTTCTGATCCTTGGCAGCCACCTGGGATCCTGGTCCTTGAGAAACTGAGACCAGCCTGCTGGGGCTGTGTGTGGACAGCAGCTGTTTGTCCTTCAGCCCCAGGTCTCTGGGATGGGACTATTCTCCTTGCTCCACATGTGGGGTACTGAGTTCAGCTGTGGATCAAGATGGGGGGGAAGGACATCTAAAGAACTGTGGGGGGCTTGGGAGGGAGGGCCTGCTGGTCTAGAGGTTGATGATGTGTACAATCTTAACTGCCCTGTGCTGCTTGACACAGGTCCTGCTGATCATAACTGCCCTCGTGGTGGCTGCTGCCTTCACAGGGCTGGGAATAAAGTGGGCAGAGGAGTGGAGAAGTGCACGCATCTCCCTGCAGGTGAGTTGGCTCCCATGCTGTCCTGTTATGGAGGCTTGTGGGGACAAGATGAGGAATTGTGCCTGGGCTTCCCAGCATGACTGTGTGCCATGAGGGCTAAGCCCTGTCCCAGCTTGGTCTGTGCAGTCCTGCCTGGAGCAGCTGTAGTCAGGGTGAGGGGACTGGAGGGAGACCTTGTCCTTTTCTCCATGGCATTGAGGCTGTCCCACTGATGCTGGCTGTAATGGTAGATCCCTGCTATTGGATTTCGAGGACAGGGGCTGGGCTTGTGATGTCTGACACCCTGCCTTTGTCTTTCCAGGCAACAGGTCCCTTCCTGCACATTGGGATTGTGGGAGGAATGACGCTCCTTGCCTGGCCATTGGCCAGCGTCATCTACCGCACCCACAGCACAGGTAACCCCCCCCAGGGTCTCCACCTTTCCCTACAGCTGGCTGCTCCGTTTCCTGCACTCCACCGAGAGGCACTGGCAGCAGAGTAGTGCACAGGGAGCAGTGGTGCAGCGGGGATGACTGAATTCTGGTACTGATGTATCAGCTCTGCTTCTATTTGCTGTTTTATTTTTATAGCTGGGTGCACCTCCAGCCCAGACTGCTTTGCAAATGGAGGAGAGGTGCAGATTGCAGTCTGTGCCCTGCAGAAGTCCTCTGTTGGGGTGCAAGGGCATGTGGTGGGCCAAGAAGAAACCTGCAGTGCTCTTGAGGTTGAAGATGCAGTGCCTGACCTAGGGCAGCTTTAAGTGAATGCTGAAAGAAGCAGCATCAGCTTGTTCCCAACAGCCTGCAGAAAGCTTGCTATTGCACCTCACCCCTGCACCTCCTGTGTCTTTCTCCAGGCCTCAAGGTGTTCCTGCTGCTTCTATACTCTGCAGTGATGATTGCCCTTTACCTGGCTCCCCTGGGGATCACTTCACCCTGCATCATGGAGGAGAACCAGCTGCC